TGTACCTTAAATAAATTATATTACTTTTACACCATACTTGAAGCCTGCATTTCCCTGTGTCAGTCCACACATCTCTGGTCATACCTGGAGCCCTGGCACAAACACCAGATCTGGCACTGTGTCTATGATCAAAATATTTCCCCAAATTTTTTTTATATCGATTTTGCCAAGTAAATATTACAACAGGCGCACCATCCAAAATGTGCGGTACAAAACAGCATAGCCACAAAAAAAAAAATACAAAGCAAAATAAAAAAAAAAATACCATACCATAAAGGGCCTGATCAGTGACCTTTTATTGATAGACTAAAAAAAAAAAAAAAAAATTAAAAATGAAAAGGTAAATACAAGCAGAAAAAGAAAACCTCTATCATCATTCCCCTCCCAATGCCTCAGGCCCAGTAAGTCAGCTCATATAATGAAAGCTGAATTCCATTCTTGATGCATACCTCCCAACTTTTGAACTTTAGAATGAGGGACACTTGAGGGAGAAAGGAACCTGCGGCATGGGTAGCGTGCCGGGGTAAAAATGGATGTGGCCAAATGCTTAACAGTGAGAAGGGCCTAAGGGGTGAGGTTAAACAAAACCCAGGCTTCCTTCTACCTATAATATATGCTTTGATTGCTGTGCCATAAGCAAGAGTTTCACGGACACAAACCCCAGCACAATCATTAAAAAAAACAAGAATGAATAAAATGCTTTCATTTTAAATGGTTTTGCACAAACTATGGAAGAGTGAGATACAAAGTGTGGCAGGTTTCAGGAATGTATTATGCACAAAGTCCAGGATTCAGGAGTGCATTTCATATGGAATGCAGGATTCAGGAATGTGTTACACACAGAGTGCAAGGTTCAGGAGTGCGTTTCATACAGAGTGCAGGATTCAGGAATGATTTATGTACAGAGTGCAAGGTTCAGAAGTTAACTGTAAAGACACCAATTAAACATACACTTACATTCTAAAATCTTGATGAACAGCATACTAGAGCTGGAGGCAAGAATGCAGGCATCAGGTGGATAACAAATGAGTGCAGCCAAGCAGGACCTGCAGCAGTGTGAACATCTAGCACAGCCAGGGATTGGCAAACTAGCCGACGGGGGTACAGCTACAGTGAGAGAGAACGCAGCTTTCAAGTCCAACCTGTGATGTTGCGGATGGGCGGGGACGATATGCATTTCAGGGGCCTTTTAAAAACAACCCATTCATTGGGAAAGAGCCGGCATTTATATAGTTCCAACTGGGAAAAAGGTGGCAAGGGGCAGGACCAATTGGAACTACTGCATGTGCACTCGCAGCGCTGTATAATTCAGGTTTATTATACACCACTGCAGATGCCCATGAAGTAGTTCCAATTGGTCCTGCCCCTTGTCATCATCTTCCCTGGCCAGCAATATATAAATGCCAGCTGTTTGTCTATGCAGTGCTTGCTTGACACAGGGGCAGAGCCCCTGAAATGCATATCTGCTCCGCCCATCCCCAACATCACAGGTTGGAGTTGACAGCTGCATGCTCTCATTGGCTGGCTTGCCTGCCAATCCCTGGCTGTGCTAGATGTTCACACTGCTGTAGGTCCTGCTTGGCTGGAAGTTAGTATAAAAAGAATAGATGGAGTAATGCGGGACAAAGCCCCTGTACCCCGGGACCACGGTAAAAAAAGTGAAAATGCTGAACTGTGGGGAGATATGCTTAATGTAGTGCAATCCAGATCAGTGAATTATTCAATAAAGGGGCTCAAGTGTACTCTCCCACTCACAAATAACCCCAATAAACCTGCAGAAGACAAACTATATCACAACTAGAAAGAGGATAGAAAGGGCCTCCATTAAAAGATTATTCAAGTAAATAGTCTACCCATTCATTAATTAAAAAAAATGAATCAGTAACACACAGAGTTCATTAGTTAAATAGCCTCATGGTTTGCCAGCAATTGGGCATAGCGCTGAGTGCTACCTATTCGGAAGTGGAGAGAGATAACAGGCATGCCTGCCACACTTTGTCAAATTTTCTGTGGCAACCCTAGGACATGTAAGTGGCTTTGTAATACGGGATCATAGAATTAACCAAGTCTTTCTAATCAGCCACTGTGCTGTGCTCAAAATATTAAAGAGGTTAAAAAATTTGAAAAAAATCAAGGTGCCTGGAGTTGAGCTTTAAAGCCACTGGGTCAGCATGACAAGCAGGGTTACCATTTTCAGAAGTAGAGGTCAGCAACTGCAGTGTCCTCCATATTCTATCAATACAGGTTTTCTTCAAAATTACTTTTAAGCCTATAAGCATTAAGGATGGATACGTTTGAGTAAAACTGTATCAAAAGCTCTCTACCTGTGTGGTATTTCATCTTTCTAAGCTGTGGAACTAAGCCTGCACAGGTCTACTATACTAGAACCAAGCCATACTAGCATAATGCTTTTCTTGTTTTGATGCAGTAGGTAAGAGTTATAAACTATTCACCTTTAAGGAGATTTGCCCTCAGGTACTGAAGACAGCATTAAAAACCTGACTGACGTTCTACCCCTTCCCACCTTGTCCTGTTGACCACTTTATTCAAAATATATATACAGTATATATGTGTGCACTGTGCTACTAAATATTGTTATCTTGTATTTTCATGCAGTCTTCTTTAAAGAGGAAGCCTATAGATTGGACCAAGACAGACATTTGTGCCACATTAGAAAAGGAGACAACATAGGTGTAAAAGCTGTAGGCAAGCAGTTTATACTGTATGCACTTTGTTTATGTGCATTTATATATAGGGTAATACAGGGCTTAACTAAGTTTGGGAATGGTCTTCTGCCCACAGCGAGGGTTAGAGTTTAGGAACAGACAGTCAATGTCTGAAATGCATTTATATCTACATTCTGCTATCCTGTATGTAGGCAGGTACCTACAGGAAGTGCTCTATTTAATGTGGATAGTTGGACAATCAAAGCTAAAAAGGGGTTAACTGTTGGGATCTGGGTTTCCTGGGTTTTTATGGGCCAGCCCTCGACACTGTGGTACTCTTACATGGGGAGAACAACAGTCTGGCCAAATAGTACAAGAGAGCAGTAAGAGTTATTCAAGCACACATGAGCTTGTTAGATGCACAGTCGGCCCCCATTGGGTCACTAGGAGTAAGGTAGCAGAGGTGCACTAGACAGGTGGAGAGGGCATAGGCTCAGCCGTGTCCCTCCTAAATGCAAAATCTCACAGGCAAGGTATACAGTAACATGGCACAGTATGTTTGACTTGAATGAATGTGACCCTGCCTGGTCCCTAGCATTAATGAGAGCGCACACACATGAGAAAAATACTCCCACATTCAGGGCGAGGTGACCCCGCCCACAGCTTGGCATAGTTGGCAGGATACGCCTAACTCATGTACCTGAAGACCACCAATAAAGAGACTAATGGCTGTAGCTAGGTAGAATTTGTTAAGGCTTGCCCAGCAACCTTCTATATGATCTCAGCTATAACTCTGGATTGGCTCCCACTACGGGTACTGCTGCCCGATTGGTTGGGACTCTGATAAGAGGTATATATAACAGTTAAACTCAGAAGCCCCATAAAACTCCAAGTAGTTTGCTTATCAATTGCTGCACCATGGCGAGAGAATCTTCCCTGGAAGGTGACCACCCAGTTGTGCTTGCAGTCCCAGAGACATTCCTCCAACTTTACCCCATGGGCTCACTGCTAGTCTTGTGAAGCACTCCTCTTCCTGAGGCAGGAGCCCCGTGAACTTGGGCTTGATGGTTTGCCCATCAAGCCCAAGGTCAGCATAAACAGAACAGGCAGAGTTTGGCAACAAGGAAACGTACTACAGGACAGGAAACAAGACCTTGCGGCAACTTGGAGATGCACAGGGCAGCTTTAAAAAAGAGCACCCTGCTCTCCTATTGGTGCGGCCACGATCGCTACTGCGCATGCGCGGCCGCCGCCGCGATCGCCGAGAACTCTGCGCTCGCCGGCTGGGACGGATCGGCAGTCTGCGCATGCGCGCACCGCCGAGGACCCGGGATCCCTGACAGTTGGGTTCACCACGGGCCAAAATTACAAGGTTTGCAAGGCTCCAGAGGCATTTCGATGTTGCCAATCATTATGGTTACCTACCGCTTCCCCTATGTCCCAGAGGCCAACTGGAAGAGGAGAGGCCTAGGATTTACAGTCAGGTGATTAAGGAAAAGTTTTGGGTGCCAGAGCACCTCCAGGACTTCAGGCATCAGAATGAGTACATCGAGGCGGAGTTCCACCAGATTTACCAGACATACACATTGGCCACCATATTTACATGGATCACATCAAACTGGTAAAACCTGATTATTTGAAACTGCATTACATTTGATTTGCAATAAAGATTTATAGGGAACTAGAAAACAGTTTTTGATATTTATAATTTAATTTGAATTGCTGTTCTGAAACTGTTTTTATCAGTCCTGTGATTGGCAGAGCACCAATCAGGGCTGTACAGACAGACTCAGTCTAGTAATAGAAGCCCCCAAGGTGCTTTCCCTGCAGATACCAAAGAACAGGGAAAGATTATGTGGCCACATAACAGTGCTGCAGGAATAAGGTACTTAGAGGATTAAAAAAAAAAATAAACAAAATACAGTGGCATGATAAATATAATTTGTGTGGATGAATTACGGCAATGAACACTTCTGTTTATTATCACTAATAGAGATGAGCGAATTATTAAAAAATTCGGTTCGGCTGATTCGCCGAATTCGCCGCATAAATTCGATTCGAGCCGAATATATTCGCTGCGAATTTAACTTATAAAAAGGGTGTTTCTAGGCTTCAGAGAGCCTTTATATTAGTGCAGAACACTGTACCTTTAATTTAAGTGCCCTTGGAGTCTGCGGGGGAAGAGAAATAATACTGTCAGTCAGTATGACATGCAGATGAGTGCCGTCGATCTTAGAATCACCGCACACTTCACTCATTTGGGCAGTCACGGGGCCAAAACCAGAGTGTGGAGCCACAGTGTGGCGGTGGAGGCAGCAGCAATGGGAGGCCATACAGCACCCTATGACAAAATGGAACCCACCAGCAGTGTGAGGAGACCTGAAAGTGGCACATGGCAGAGTGTGGCGATGGAGACAGCAGCAATGGGAGGCCGTACAGCACCCTATGACAAAATGGAACCCACCAGCAGTGTGAGGAGACCTGAAAGTGGCACATGGCAGAGTGTGGCGATGGAGACAGCAGCAATGGGAGGCCGTACAGGGACCAATGACACACTCTGGACCTGGCAGCAGCATGAGGAGGCGGTACAGGGGCCCATGACAGATTACGGGCCTGGCAGCAGCATGAGGAGTCGGTACGGGGGCCCATGGCAGATTACGGGCCTGGCAGCAGCATGAGGAGGCGGTACAGGGGCCCATGGCAGAGTGGCGGAGCGTAAGCAGCTAAAATTGAAGGCCATACAGAGGCCTATGTTAAAAAGTCCCCCCCAGCAGCAGCGTGGGGAGACGACTATCAAGAGTCCAATGGCAGAGTGGCGGAGCAGAAGCAGCTTCAATTGAAGGCCATACACAGGCCTAGGTTTAAAAGTCCCTCACAGTTAATTCCAATAACGAACTCTACTCCTCCGTGCAATCTACTTACGAGACCCTGGGCAGGTCTGGGTCCAATTTGTGGTAGAGACTGGTTTTGTTCAGCCATGCTTGAGCGAGTAATAACAGGTCTGTGCTGCCCTTTGGTGTCTGGCTTAATGTGCACAACACTGAACGTCCCAGCATTTGTCAACGATTTGCCGTTAAGTGATGCAAACCCGCTGAACCACGTTCATGAGGAGCCGGTACAGGGGGCCATGAATCAGTATGGACCTGGCAGCAGTGTGAGGAGACCCGAAAGTGGCACATGGCGCAGGGTGGCGGTGGAGGCAGCAGTATTCGGAAGACATACACAGGACTAGTTTAAAAAGCGGAAGCCGTCAGCAGCGTGAGCAGACGACAGAGGCACATGGCGCAGGGTGGCGGTGGAGGTAGCAGTATTCGGAAGCCATACACAGGCCTAGGTTAAAAAGCGGAAGCCGTCAGCAGCGTGAGCAGACGACAGAGGCACATGGCGCAGGGTGGCGGTGGAGGCAGCAGTATTCGGAAGCCATACACAGGCCTAGGTTTAAAACTGGAACCCAGCAGCGTGAGCAGACGACAAAGACGCACATGGCAGAGGATGGATCTGGCAGCAGTATGAGAAGGCGGTACAGGGGGCCCGTGGCACAGTGTGGTGATGGGGGCTACAGCAACTGGATGCCAGAAAGTGGCCGATAGGGCTATATACTGCATG